AATCGAATGTGAATACTCAAATCAGAGAATCATAAATTGAATTAAGGTAAATTTGCTATTAGATTAGTTGAAACTTTGATTAAAGTGTCATTGATAGACCACAATAAAAAAAATAATAAGAAAAAAAGATGAGCAAGAGGTGTCAACAAAAAGGCAAAAAAATAAAAAATAAAAAAAGGTAAAAAAAAAAAAAAGAGAAAAATGAAGACTTAAACTGAAAACCCAAAATGATAGTTTAAGTAAAGATGAAAACTCAAAAAAACAACTTTATGTGAGGGTTTCAAGAGTGAGATGATTGGCTTAAAGATAAAAAATATTCATATAATGTATTTTTGAAAGAGAATTCTGAGTTGTAGTTCAAAATTATCTGAACAATCATTATTTTAGATATGGATATCCTATTTGAACAGTCAAGATATTCTACCTTGGTTCACTTTTGACCATATTTTTTTTCATAAAAACCCACTTTTCTTATCCTTGACCAAATAAATATTCCCTGAATGAATAAAAAAAATGTATCATGTCTGTCACTAACTTGAATAATGATAAATAAATTAATGATATTTTTCATAAAGAGATTTTCGTTCTTTTAAAAGAATTTCAAGATGAGATAAATGAAAGAAGCATAAAAAATGATTTACAAGAGGGCAAACAAGGTGATTTAGTGATGAATTTAGTAATAGATTGTTTGACATGACCTACAAGTTATAACTAGATGAGAATAATGAATAGTTGGTTAGCAAAATTTATTATGAGATGCTAAAAAGCTAAAAAAGAATACATTAGATGGTAGAATTTTGAGAACCTTGTTACCACAATTGAAACTTCATGGCATGATTTAGTAATATTTGCATTACACACAATGTGTTCACATTTGTATAGGACATGCATTTGCATCATTGCATCATCATCTATCACTCATTTTCGATCTTCATTCAATCCAGATCATTTTTTTTAACTTGTGATTTTGTCTCGATCATTCATCTTCGACGTCAACTCGGTCCTGATAGCTTTATCTCTTAGACTCATTTTTTGTCTCGGTTATCCAATCTCAGCTCAGTCCATATCATTTTTTTGACTATTCAATCTTGATTTAGTCTATATCATTTTTTTAACTATTCGATCTCGATTCAATTCAGATCATTTTTCAGACTTACAATTTCGTCCCAATCATTTTTACTTATTGACTAGACTCTTGAAGTAGAGTGGGCATCTAGGTCTTTGCATCATCTCTGTTTAACAAATATGTGCAAAGAGGGGCAGCTATAGATGCCCATCTGGGTCCGGGGTCTATTAAATTGATTTTTTTATAGTCATTATTTTTGTATTACTATATCATATTATTATTATTATTATTATTATTATTATTATTGTGTTTATTCTCCTTTCTTTTCTTATTTAATTTATGACGAGAATTTTGGAAAACTGAAACGTTGAATCAGCCATATCAAAATTCTATAGTCAAATATTTTTAATGCTAAATCAAGTCTAAATAACTAACAAATTCAATTGTGACCAAATCAGAATCCTAAGATTATGCTCAAACAGAACCCAATCCCAAGATTTAAGCATGGATTGGTTCTGTCCATTTCCTAAAAGATATCCTAAGAGTGCTTATAAATCGAACCAAGAATCACAAGAAACAGGCACGGTTGATTTTTTAAAAAATGGAGTGAACTGGGTGTTCTTAAAATTTTTTAGATAGTAAGAAATTTCTAGGATTTTGATTTTAGGAATTCTAGATTCGATTTGAAGTTTCTAGGTTAGATTTGGGTTTTTAGGGTTTGGATTAGGATTCTGGAGAGTTTTTGAAAAAATCTGGGCACATCTGGAAATATCTAGAAATTCTTGGTTTTTTATGAAAAAATCTAGGTTTGGGATGAATTTTTTGGTGAAAGATGAATTTTTAGGTTGAATTTTTTTACAAGGTTTGAGTTTTTCAGTCACTTTTCGGTTAGTTTTTCATAAATCGATGGGTTTTTTTCAATTTTTAAAGGTATTTTTGGGGTTTTGCTAGAGAAAGGTCAAAGGATTTCGGTTTAGAAAAAGAGAGAGAGTTAAGGACTTCTGAAGAAAAACACTAAAAAGTGGCTTATATAATGACCCAAAAAGGCAGCGTTTGGAAAACCTAAATTCGCGGTAACCTGACTAGGATTTGGGTGTTGACTCGTATGTTAACCCGACCCGAATCGCTGGTTTCTTTTTTATCTTTTTCATTTTATTTTTTGATTTCATTATTTTAAGTTTTATTTTATTTTATTTTTTGGCTTTATTTATTTATTTGCATTTAGTAATTCAATATCTATCTAAAAAAATAATCTTTTCTTTCTGGAAAACAAAATAATAATAATAAAAAAACCTTTTCAAATAAGTTTAAAAGACAAAAAAAATAAAAATAAATCTTTTTCAAATAAATTTATGGAATTTACCAAACTATTAAAAATTTGCATAAATTAGTTTTCAAAAAATTAAAAAAACAAAATAAAAAAATGTTTTATCCTCCAAACGTGTGGTGGATTACTTTCTAAATTAAGTCTTACCAAACTATTGAGAGACTTAATGAAATCCTCAAAACTTTTATAAATCTTTTTACAATAAAATCTCACCAAATTATTGAGAGATCTACTTCAAAGTAAGTCTTATCAAACTATTATGAGACTTTATTGATTTTTCTTGAATAAAAAAATAAATATTAAAAAATTCGACGATAAAGCCTCCTTAAAACGGAACATTAGTATCCATGAATACTCTTGAGATGAGAGAATTATATTAAATTGTTAACAAACTATTAAGATAATTTTAAGACTAATTTTCAATATTTAATATTTTGGTAAAAGCATAAATATTTTTAAGGCTTGGATAATTTGGAATCAAACTAGTACAATCTTTGAAGGGACGTTATAAGGGTGCTATAACCTTCTTCATGCGTAACAGTATTCCCGAACCTAAATCTAGTTTCATGGATCATATTCGATTAAGTGGCCAATCATATCTTAACAAAAAAGATTGGTGACAACTCATCTAATCTATGTCTAGCAGTAGATCTACGGATCTATACGTGTGTAGTTAGATTATATATGTCTCGTAAAAAAAAAATACTATATACATGTGTAGTTGGATTGGGTTGATAGCAGTTTTGGAATAATAAATCCAAGACCTTAACCTAATTTTACGTTAAGATGAAGTTTGCTATTTTTAACAATTAGGTTTGCTACTTTTGAGAACAGTTTTGGAATAATAAATCCAAGAACTTAACCTAATTCTAAGTTTAAGTGAAGTTTGCGGTATGGACATTTTCAAACAGTTGCTATTCAACTACAATAGTGTGGAATGGGATTAGGCTTAAGCCGGAAAAGGTTGAACGGCATAGGTTTATATGGTTCAAATTCCATGTTCCAAAGCATTCATCGATAGCCTGGATGGTCATCTTGAATGGATTCCCAATGAAGGATAGACTAAGGTCTAGGAGAATGGAGATAGACAGCAAGTGCTGCTTGTATCAAAGAGTGGATGAAGCAAGAGATCATATGTATTTCAACTGAGCTTACTCTAAAGAAGTTTGGCATATGGTACTCCAGTTATGTAGGATTCGCAGAAGAATAGGGAATTGGGAAGCTGAGCTGAGGTAGGCAATGAACAGGCTGAAAGGAAAAGCTTTGATTTCCATCATATTACTTCTTCCTTGGAATACTTGCATATATTCGCTATGAAGGGAGAGAAATCAATGGCGGTTCAAGCATACAGAGGAGACAACAGGACAGGTGGTGAGAAGGATCAAGGAAGTTGTCAGATGTAAGTTGCATGGTTTAAGGCAAATTGCGGCAGATATCTGTAATAAGCAATTGCCTGATGATTGGAACCTTTCTGTACCTATTCTAGAATAGGCCGCTAACATAATGTCATGGTTCCGTAAATTGGAATAGTTGTTCCGTAGCAGATTTCTGCTTATTTTAGATAAATAAAATTCAACTTATCTAAAAAAAATAAAATAATAAAAAACTCTTAAATTTTATAATTTTATTTGAATAAATTTTTATATTTTTATTGATTCAAATAAAATTTTAATTTTTAATTTACATTTAAAAAACTTTTAATATTTAATTTGTATCCAAATAAATTTTTAAATTTTTAATTTGTATCTAAAAAAATTTTTAATATAAATTATTTTATCATTAGAAATAAAAGTTTATTTAAATATAAATTAAAGTATAAAAATTTATTTAAAAAGGTGAAATAGTTAAGATATTTTTAATATTTTATTCTTTTAATAACCTATAAATACTTGGTCAGCTAGAATCAGCCATGCAAAGAAAAAAAGAATAAGGAAAAAGCATAATGATAATAATAATTAAAAAAAAAAAAAAACGATACTTTCATTGTGTTTTGGGTTTAGGGTTAGATGTGGACGCATGAACAAAAGTCAGCTCCTTGATCATGGAGGCCATGTCGCTCTGGTTTTATACATGTCAACTCTATCCAACTGCCTCGCCGCCATCAGGTCCTACCTTCCCGATATATATTCACCATTTTTGAAGTGTTCTCTGTGCTTTTAATAATTTCAAATAGTAGTGACCTTGGGTACAAGCATGAAAAAAGTACGGGGAATTTGTATTTTTGTTTAATTGCATCAATTTAATTAAATTAATTAATTGATTATAAAAAATAATTTAAAAAAAGTTCGGTTTAAACTAAATTAATTGAAATATAAAAAAACTCATAAATAAAATTACAAAGACATAAAACAGATCTTGTAAGAGTTTTTAATTTAATATTTTATTGAATAATTTTATTTAATTTATTTTAAATATGAAAATTTTAAAATTTAAATTATAATTAAACTTATAAATATTTTATTATTTGATTAATTCAAAATTTTACAGAATTAACTAAATTAAATTAAATTGGTTAAAATTTTGAAATTAATAAATTTGATTTAATTAATGAAATAAAATAAAATAAAAAATTTTAATTAAATCGATTTTAAAAAATTAAGCTGACAACAAAGCAACACCCAATAGAAAGAAAAACAATGGTCTAGAGATAGGCTCTTCCAAGTGCCAACCCACCAAATAAAATAAGGCAATGGCCAGACCTCCCTATAGATATATTACACGGTAACATTAATCAGGGAAGGCTCGGATATCCTCAGGAATCTTCTTCATTTCGTCGGAATTTCAAGCCGGAAGACAATGAACGGCTAAGAGACAGTAGAGATAGGATTGAGACGAGTTCCGTTGCTAAAGTCAACCAAGTGCAGAAAGTAAGAGAAAAGTAAGGAGAAGCGATTGAGAGTGAGAAGAAGGGTCATCTGTGCTTCAATCTTATTTTTTATAATGCGAACACAATTTGGGTAGGTGAGTCGTTAGTGCGCTGTTGGCCAGGTGTCAAAACTATCTATCTCAGACTATACTGGTCGATTAGCTGGCAATCGGATTTGACAGTAAAGAACTTGACGAATAAGGTAGAAGAATCATATTTATATTATAGGACGTGAGCAAAGCAATTCCCTCGAGAACCAAAAGGATTTTGCGAGTTATAGATTATATTCTGGATGATGTTTTGAGATCTTGGATGTAGAGGAAAGAAAACTGTATGTATTTGGTGGGCTTGTATTTGGAGTGATGGTGGCGATGTATATCTCCAAGTTAGGTTTCAAAATTCCATTCACAATGCTCAGTGTTTACATTAAGTAGGACATGGCTATATTCATTCCAACAAAATGAAAAGGAAACAAAACATGTCATGCCGCATTATAAAAAGTTATTTCACTAATTTTTTTTTTTCTCTCTACACTGTTTCAAAGCTGTGCTTTGGGGAAATCCGTACAGCTCAACTGTAACTTCAGTCATGTGGGAGAGAGTTAAAAGGAGATGAAGAAAGCGAAAAAGAAAGTGTCCATACCCCATGCTTCCTCTACGTGCCATGGACAAAGATGGCCCGAAATGACATATTTTGTCGCCATTGACCTGGCTCCTGTAGCTCCACTCTTTCTACAAGGTCAATCTCCAAACATTCAACAGAAGAATTTCCGTTGCTGCAACAAGCAAGCCAACAACCATCACTCCTCGCGTGAGACAAGCATTGATAACCCCAAGATAATAAATCGGCATTTGAAACTAGACCTAATAATTTTAAGTATAACTCAATGATATGATGTGATATAAAAAAGATTCGAAAGTAATAAAATTTAAAATTTTAACAAAAATCATATTTGAGTTTGGTAAAAAATAAAAGAATCTGTTTTATGTTTTGTGTATTGACACGAATTATGATATAATAATTTACATATTTTACACGAAATAAAAAGACATATACGAATTACCAGGTCTATTTGAAACTCTTACAGTATGGCTAGAAGCTAGAGCTCATATTTGGTATACTTCCAACATTTTTCTTTTTCGTAAGCAGATTAGCTAGATGGTTGCCTTTCTCAAATAGAAAGTTGAAAACCAAAGTAGGTCTTGGATTCTTTTTCATTTTGTGTGAAGGCAGCAATGCAATGGCTTTACTTTTTACTTACCCCTTCTTTCTGCTGCCCCTACCACAGGACACTAGTAAAAGACATGCAACCTCCAAAACACCAGAATATAGGATCATGCTCAAGATTGAAACATTTGGAACATACTATTTTACGGAGAATGGAACTTACACGACTTTTGGACTCAATAATATTTTCCAGCAACTCTGAAATCTCAAGTTGCTTCATTACTGCAGAATGTAGAACCTGTAAAATGACAACATTGTAAAAAGAAAATAAATTGTTGTCATTGAAATCAAAGTCCAGGTAAATAAGATGAGTCATACTCGCTTTGTTTTCTCAAGGTCAAGCTCGACAGATTTGATCCGGTCCAGAGATTCCATAAGCATTTTCTCCTTTTCTACAGGAATTCCAGCAGGCTTGTTGCTAAGTTCCTCGAATGCTTTCTCTAGTTTCTGAAGACGCTCTATACATGGAAGGACATGGTCTTCTTCGTTTACAGCTTCTAGTGCTGTTGAATTTGAATGGCATTTCATGTTGGATTCCGTCATATTCGAAGGATGAATATTGTTTGGTTTTCCCCAAAATTCAAACGGAACAATACGAATAAAGGCAGCCAATCTGACCAATAAAGCTATCAGCATTTTTGCTGCAGAATGATTATTCCTTCTCCCAACATTTTCCTTGAAAGTGTCAAGCCAATGGGCGATTGAAGTTCCTGAAATTTTATATCAACTTAGAAAAGAGAATTTCAAAGGATAGGAAATTATAACTGAACATCTGTCAACTATATGGTAAATTATCAGCATGTATCAGTGAAACCAGGTAGTAAACAAGAAACACTGCCCATACACTATCAAACATACCATATAACAATAGTAAATTTAAGGTATCCTCCTCAAAGAAAAGGAACTGATTACTGTGATAAAATTGCATTTTCAAATACCTTCCGAACAAACAGAAGATGCTTGTACATGAGATTGGCTATCCACATTACTAGAAGTAGGCAACTGATCTAGGGAATATAGCAGTCCTTGGTCATTTTCTATAGTTTTCTTAACCACAGGGAAACTATCATCACAACTATAGAAAGCATTTTGATCTGATACCCTCACCTGCATAAATTAGAATCAATTTTATTAAAAGCGGCACCAAAACACACATTAGTTAGCACACAAGCAGAATTATCGACTTTGGCAACTCACTTCTTCATGAACTGGTGCCAAACAATGAAATGCAGAGCTTCTTCGTCCAATTGGAGAACATTGGTTATCAATATCTAACCCAGACTCCACTGTTGATGTGTCACGAGTCCTTCCCTGACAGAGTATGTGTTAAGTCACGTGCAGAGAAGATATAATCACAGAACAATTTTGTGCTCGATGATCACAAGATTCAATACTTACCTTTAATGGCTGTATCAGAACAGAAGAGTCATATTTATGCCAGTCATTAGATACTCTGGTGATTTGCCTCACAAATGTTGCTTCTGCATTATGTACGACCTATCAATGGAACCGCATGTTAATATCCAGATAAAAGTTGAAGAAAACCTAAAATCATGTCTAACAAACAATTCATGCTTAAGAGGAAAAAGCAGCATGTTACATAAACAGAACTACTTTGATTGAAGGGATGGTTACCTTCATTATCTCTGGATCATTCCATGGACCTTTATTGGATCTAAGACACCCTCCATCTGTAGAGCAAGTGCACGACCCTCCTAAGAAGTCTGGCAACTGACTGAAAGAGGTGAAGAAAAAACAAGGACTTATGAGGGATCATAGGTTGAATTTTCTTGCAGGTAAGAATGAACAAAGATGATTAACACACCTAGCATCAATGATATCCAGTAGCTTACCCAGAGATTTGGGCTCCAAAACCTGCAATTTGTAAATAAAAAATTGAGTCGACTAGGAAGCAGGAGAAGGGGAATAAAAAGAAGAATGCCTAGAGCAATATCCTTTACATTTATCTTCCCAATTGTCTTAGCATCAAGAAATTTCTGAGCAGCAGGCCAAAGCATCTTTTTGAATCCAGAACCAGCATTGACTACGTACATTCTGTGTAACGTCTGTAAAGCCATACCAAAAAGAATTACAGATAAACTGGCAACAGAAACTAAAAAAATAAGTGGTTTGGATAAGATACCTCAGGGTAATAACTGTTGTCTATTTTAGTCATGGCAGCCAAAAGATTTGCAGCAGTCCTGCTAAAATTCTTCATGCCCTACATTCAAAAGCAACATTTAATCACTAATTATAATTCTAAAATTAGGCTGCTTTAAATGAAGCAATAAAACATCCGCCACTGAAGCGAGAAAACTTCAACATTCTACGGTAGACATGACAAGCCCTATTGTGTGAAATGCAGCTTGTGTATTCAGTTCTAGTGCTAGATCTACATATAAAAGAAAAACTTTGAGTTTATTGGCAATATAAAATTTTCTAAAAGCTACAAGGCTATCAAAGTTCTGCCATATTGGTGCATGTAATGTTGTCAAATCTTCAATTTGATAAATGGCGTCAAAGATAAGAGCCAAATACCAGTCCTTGTACATCTAATATAGTAGTTGTTGAACAGATTTGTCGCTTTGCTGCAATTGAACAAGCAGGGAATTTCTCCAACAAAGCTCTCTCAAACTCTTGGACATGGTACTTCAAATACCGATCTATGGTGGTGATACACATAAGCCTACTTGGATGGGCTTTCCCTAGCCTCTCAATGTAAACAGGTCTCCCTTCCTTGTCAATTCCATGGTACGCTTGGGGATAGTATTGCAATATTTCTTCCAGCTCTTCAAACTCAAAATCCTAAGCATTGATTGATACAACAAAAGGTTAAAGTTGTATGATAAAAAAGATAAATGAAAGTATAATCCTAGCTCTTATATAATGTGCATTATAATCATGAAAGCAACATAATCTCTAAGGTGCCACGAAACTATTAGGCCTTATCAAATACAATGCAAGCCATTCATTAGCGGTTTTATTTGTTAACTTTTCACCAGTGAAGAGTTCCAGATTAGTTAACATTATAGACTGGACTGGATGAAAGAGATACAAAAAAGTTTACATTTCTCACCTCCAAAATGGTGTCTGTTCTGAACTCTTTCCTCCATTTAAGCATTTCTTCCCACATCTGGATTGTTTTCTCAATGTTGAACTCTCTAGCTTTCAAGAATCTACAAGTCAAAAGTAAAAGTACTTCTCAGCATACTTGAGTCGGCCGGATATAATGCGAGACATTCAACGAATAGAGCAGCGGAATTTGCTGGCTTGTGTTTGAAAGCAGCAACTGACCTCAACAAAGTATGATAATCATCATGCCTACGAGGCAACAAATCTTTATGCAGAAGTTTTTGATGCAATTCATGAACGGCACTCTCCTCTTTTGCATCCCTAACATCCTCAATGGATACAGAAGGGACCCTGTAATCAATTTTCCTCTTCCCTCTTTTCTTAAGAGAATGAGTAAACTTGTTGGATGCATTTATGGCCTTTTTTTTCAGATTCCCAATCTTGGATCTTCTTCTCTCATCCTCAGAGTTGTCAAAATCTAACCTTTTGTCTCTGCTTTCTTCACTTGCTCCAATTTCTTCCACCCCTTTCAAATATGGACAAAACCAAAGTAAACTTAAGCAAGACAGGCACTAACAAGTCAAAAAAATCAGAAATGCATTTCAAGAACTAGCAATTGATTTAACATACCTGACATCTCAGACGCAATTCAAAAGGACAAGCTTTGGTCTTTGAAGCTATTAGTATTGTTCAATAAAATGAAACAAAAAACCCATCTTGTTCTGCACATTGCGGAATAGAATTAGAACACAGAAGCAGAAACTAATGAATCGAAATGAATCATTTCACATCAGGAAGCAATAACTATAAAGCAACAAAATTTATGCAAAACTGAACCTAAATGATTAAAGGATGATCAGATCTGGACATGGATGAACAAGCTTTTCTCTCAGTTATCAATAAATCTTATATACTGAGTTACTGATTTTCTTCATATCTGTTTGAATTTGAACTATAAATTCTAAAAAAAACAAAACAAAACAAAAGCGATTCCCAAAAATGAAACATCAAATTTCACAGCCAGTAGTGCTTGGAAACAGTAAAAGATCGTTGAAAATGAGATCAAAGCACAGTTAAAGGTTTTAAAAGATGAAGACGCCGCAACGCATTCACTCTCTTACAATGCTGATTATTACTACATGAATCGTGCGGACTTGTCTTGTGTACTGATTGATGTAAAAGAAAATGCACCCACTGACTCCATACAGCGAACGTGGAATCAACCGAAACGCAATAACAACAGCGCCAAAAACAAAAGAAGAAACTTTCCGGGGAATATTACTTGTTAAAGAAAAAAGAAGAAAAAAAAAAATTTTTGGAAAGATCTGATCTGATTATTAAATTTTTGTTTTCAACCTTTTTTTCTCAGTTTTTCTCGCAAAATGCACAAACTTTTCTTTGCTTTTCTTTCTCGCTTTCTCTAAAAAGAAGAAAAAGAAAATGGTGAGAGGCAGAGTGGTTGATGAAGGTTCGAGCGAGAGAGAGAGAATTTCTTCTTCAGTCACTTTTGCTTCCTTTCGCTTATTTGTCAGCTCGGCTTTGGATGCGTGGCATTTTCTTGTTTTATTTAATTTTTATGATTAAAAAATAAATAAGTACTAGCTTTAGTTTATTTATTATTAATTAAATTAGTAAAAATAATAATAACAATATCGTAATTAGTAAATTAAAAATAAATATGTCGTGTCGTATAAAAATATTAATAATTTTAAATAAAAATTGTGATAATAAATAATATTATACGTTTTTTATTTTATTAAAATAATATATAATTTTTTTAATTTTAATTTATTTTATTTTTAATTTTAATTATAATATCTATCATGTTTTAAATTATCATATTTAACTAAAAATTATTGATTAAATTTCTTTTATTACAATCCATCTTTGTACTTGGGAACTTTCATTTGTAATTTTTTTTTACTATAATTCTATAATTATTCAATAACAACAAAAATTATGTGAAATTTACTACTAATAAATGTAAATTTTATATAATTTTAAATTAGTAATAATTGATTAATTATAATATAATAATTGTAAATGATTTACGTAATTCGACTTTGACTTTTTTTTTTCTACATACATTTCTGTCATCCCATTACTAAGTTTAGTTGTCTAAATCTGAAAAAAAAAAGACAAAGACCAATTAACAACCCCCAATTAATGTAATTAATACAATCCTACGACCATGATGTGGAGCTGGAAACATCTATTCCACAAATCCACATCCATTACCCATCCTAAAAAGTATTAAATCTTGTCAACAATCGCGTATTTATTAGTAAACTATTAAATTTTTAATTTTAATAATTAAAATTTAAAATTTGATAATTTTAAATATCAAAATATTAAATCTTAAATACTAATCGTATTATAAATTTTATCTATTAGATAATTTTATTTTCTTCGATTTAAATAAGATTCAATTTGATTTTTTTAAATATACATAATATTATAAAAATTTAAATTTTGATTTTAATCTTAATTAAATTATCATTCAATTTGAATCGAAATGATTATTGATTCGGTTCGATTCGATTTGTTTATTTTTAATTTTTATATTATTTTAATATAAATTTTAATATATTTAAATAAATTTTAATATAAAATTATTATTTTATTTTATAAAAATTTAAAATATATATAATTTAAATATATATAATTCTATTTGATTTAATTTTTTTATTTTTTATTTTTAAATTTAAAATTTAATATATATTTAATATCTAAATTTAATTTAATTTAAATAAAAAAAATCAATTCAAATCAAATTAAATATTATGATTTTAATCAATTTCTCGTTTTTTTTTTTTCACCCCTAAGCAACACTGTAAATTCGCAAATGCAAAACTCATGAAAAATTCTTATTCCCAACCCAACCAACACCCTGCACCCTAATTACTAGCCCCTGTCCCCTCTCTCTCTGCCGAAGGGTCTCATCAGAATTCAGAAACCCAAGCCTCAACCTCACTGGTACCATGCAACATTTGCCACAATCATCCCATTCACACTCTCATGAGTAATGAAACTTTTTCTACTACAACATAAATTCCAAAGGATACGTATTTACATCTATGTATACATACAGGGAATTACGGTTTGCTTGGATTTTTATTCGATTTTGGTTTGATTATTTCAATTAACAAATGATATTATAATTTTTAAAATTCAATACAAATTTGAATCAAATTTTCTTTGAAATCAATCTAATTTGGATTGACTTTTTTCAGTTTGATTTGTTAGATTTTAAAAATTAAATTTTTTATATATTAAAATAGATTTAAATATAAGATAATTATTTTAATTTTATAAAAATTTAAAATATATACAAATACATAATTCAATTTAGTTAAGATATTTTTATTTTTTTTATCCTAAAATCAATTCGAACTTAATAAAAATATTTAATATCCGAATTAAATTCTAATCAAATAAAAATAAAATCGATCAAATCTAACACAACAATTTTTTATTTTCTTGATTTTTTTCCCACCTCTATTTGTATCTAGTTTCGAGACAATTTTTTATCTAATCTAACAAAGTAATATTAGTAATAGATCAAATAATTTTAAATATAATATAATAATAAAATATAAAAAAATTAAGTATGATATAATTTAAAATTTTAATAAAAATAATATATAAATTTAATAAAAATAAAAAATATATATTTAACATATTAATACAAATTATAACATAATAATTTTTATATTTTACATATATATTAAACACAAAATAAACAAACATAAATTCACGAATAAAAATAAGAATAACCTAGCTATACGTGAGGGGTTTAGTGCAGCAGCAATTACTAGTAGTGCTACCTGACAATTGAGTTTGATACAGGTCCAATGCACATTGATGAAGCATTCAATACCTTATTTGTTGCGTCTTTTTTCGTGTATTTATGAATGTTGGTCGTACAACAAATTTATGGGGATGGTCCCTTCGACCAATCCTAAAACCTTAAATAGCCAGCGGTTGGTAGTTAGTTAAAGTAAACTTCTTTGTTTCATATCTAACGATAATTATTACTGTTATGGGTTTTGCCGTAGTTGGGAATCGTTAAGAACAAAAAGAAACTCAGATGGATGCATTATGGGGGAATGATAGTTTCATCATTGCCGCATGCCCTCTTCAATGCTAAATGCTCCTACAAACAAAACATAACAACACAAAACAAATGCTGCTGACAATCTGATTCAAATATATATATATATATATATATAAAATATTATATTATTAATTAATTAATTAATTTTATTGATAGAAATTACATAGAGGAAAATTTTGAGGTTTTCTTTTTTAATTTTTTTTATTTTCTAAATTTTTAGGATATGTATATGTCACTCTATTTTTGTTATTAGATTTGCTTCTGCTCATTGTGCTGAAGTCTGTATTTTATGATTAAACTCTTAAAAGTCTAATTTTAACTTCAACTAAATGAAAAATACTTTCACCATGGTTTCAAATTGTATCTTTATCAATATATTTGTCATTGTCATGAATGTTAAGTATTCTTATGCTTCATTGCATTAGCAAGTAAAAGAGGAAGGTTTGCTCATTGATTTTGTGACCATGTCGATAGAGTTATCATTGTCGATAAAGTCTTTAATACTTGTAATCATGAATTGGTTTTGTGTCAATAAAATGCATAATGACTATTATAAGTCCGTATTATATGGTTTTATTAGATAAAATCATTAAGATATTGTCTTAATGGTTAAATTATTTTTTAAAAATTGTGATTACCAATCACGTTAAAGTAAAGTTAATCAATTTGAAGTCTTATTTTTTAAATTATGTTTACCTAAAATCAAATAATCAAATTAATATTGTTCAAGTGAAAAAATGTTATAATTTTTTAATAAATGAGCTGCTATAAATTAGTGATTTTATAGTCTATTAAACAAGTTGATAAATTTAGTTATTTGTGAGTTTTGCACATCTTATTGGATTAATGTGATTTGATATTATGTAAGCGTTTAATCCAATAAACCTTTAATGGAAAGGCTACTGGGATTTTAATAAAATTAGTTATGATATTCTTTTCACTTTTAATTAATAATATTTACTCGTTGATAGTCTTCAATTAAATAAAAACGAAGAAAAAAACCTAATTTTTTTAAAAAGATTACAATTGTTTTTGCTTATCAATTATTATTACTCCCAGTTAATTTGTTTGAATGTAGGGTTCTAATATTCACATTGTCCTCTTGAATTATGACTACATGGTGCAGTTGGAAAACTTTCACCATACCTCCAAAGTCCAAATGAAAGCTATATCAGATTATTTATCATTGTCAATCTCAAGTTTTCTTGTACTTCATTGAATTTGGCCGTGAAAGAGGAAGGTTTGATCAATGGCTTTGGACCATTCTAATTGCTCCAATTTCATGCAGCTTGTTCATAAAGTTGCTTGCAAACTTAACTAAGAAGCTAAAAGTCAACTTTTCGGTAGGATTGCATTTGAGTGGTCAGAAACTCTGCATGCACGCCATTACATTTTCTACCACAATTGATACAACTATATATATATATATATATATATATATCAACAAGTGATTGATTTAATCGGTTAAGTTCATCTTTTTTTACGAAAAAGTATTGAGTTTAAGTCATGTCGATAATCATTTGTTAGAGTTATCTCGAATGTATGATCTATAATCACTTATCTTAAACTGTCAGATACGACACATCTTATCCTGATTTGTGAGACTGAGTAATCTATCTACCATAAATTTTTCTTATAAAATAATATATATTATATAATGGAATCGGGTAAACATTAAAATAATTATTATAGGAGATCAGATCATACACACCAAAAGCTAATCCTCATATTTGGACATAACTTTACATATGCATGCTTCTTTTTTATTAATGGTTTTCAATTAAAGTTAATATTTGATCTTTTATTAGTATATAAATTTTATATATTATCAATAAATCATATAATATTATTTTATTAATGAATAAATATAAATTAAAAAAAAAACTTAAAGTAAAAACATAAAAACTTGATTTTTTAAATATTTTTATTAATAAAATATTAATGCATGGTTGATAGTGTACAATTTATATATTAATAATGCATTTAATATCAAATTTTTTTGTCACATTGTATAAATAGTAAAACGTGACCGGACAATTATTAGGTTAGATTCTTTAATTAGTATTATGAATTGAGCCCATCGTAAAGTTTGGTTTGTGTAGGTTAATAAATGGAAACGACCAAATGAGGATGAAATCAACAGCAATAAATCCAAGTAACAAGTAAGAGGCAGGGCGAGAGGCGTAGAATCCAAAGTTGGAAGCTTTGGGAGGGGGCCCTATGTCAGGCAGATAGGTTGAATTATTTCTGTTTCTGATTCTGACATCGAGGTGCCCAAAACACAAAAAATAAAATAAAAATCAGAAGAGTTTCAACGGAGAAGAAAAGTCACTCCCGAGAAGACAAAAACCTTTCAGGGAAAAAAATCGAAAAATCATAACTTGATTTCAAATTGCGTAGTTTGATTTAGATTAAATTTAGATTAGATTTTAAATCGATAAATAAAAATTAAAAAATTTTAATTAAATTATTAATTTTAATAATTTATATATTTATATGTTTTTATAAAGTAAAATAATTATTTTTTACTTAAAATTTTAAATATATTAAAAATAATATATAAAAATTTAAATTTTAAAAATCGTTACATCAAATTAATAAAATTCGATTAAAATAAAATTAATTTTAAACAAATCAATTCAACTTTAAATTAAATTTTAAAAATTTATAAAATTATACATTATTAAAAAATATAATCAAATCCAATCTCAGTAACCTCTACCTTCAAGGCGTGTAGCTCTTTATCAGTATAGCCTTTCTCCCTTCTCTTGCTCCTGACTCCTGAGCTGCTATAATATCTTTCATTAATTATTACTATAAAAACTGGAAAAAGAAACGAATATGTGAACATGTTGCCTTAAGAAGTGTTGGCAAAGGCTGAAGACATTCCTATGTCCGAAAAGCCACACGTGCAAACATACATTCCACGTATTGACCTATATGCCTACCATTCTCTCTCTCTCTCTCTTCTCTTGTATTATCAGATTCTCCTTTTTCTCTTCCTTTTAATTGTAATAAATTTTTGTGAAAGAAAGGCTAACAATTGTTAATAAAAAAAAAAAAAAGGAGAAGCTAAAAATTGTTAAGTTGAAAGAGAAACTAAAAAAAAAAAATTATAAAAGCAGTAATAATGGCAGACAGCATCAAATTCCATTGAGTAATCTATCAAAATTAAACAGATCTTTGGAAAATATAATAATTTAAAATATAATATGATAATATGATATAAATATAAAATATAAAAATAATATAATTTAAAATTTTAATAATAATTATATTTAAAGTTAATAAAGTTATTAAAATTTTTATTTTTATATTATTATATTAATATAAATTATAATATATAATTTTTATATAAAATATAAAAATAATATATAAATTTTAATATTTTATATTACATGAATATATAAATCATCAAATCTAAACCGAAGAGTGTTATGTATTCCAAGCTCAATCATAATTTTACAAAAAATAATTTTACTGTTTATTTAAATAAAATCTAAAAAAATTAATAGTAATTATTTTGTACCGACACAATAATTTTACTGTATCCAACCGACAGCTTTCTTTGTTGCAACCTCAAAGATGCCTCTCGCCAAAATCCAGCTTTCCTCCTTTTTCTTTAATGTTTAAAACATTTGTAAAATGTTTGGTGGCCTTGGGAAATCCATATACTATTTGCATTTATTTTAGATATAGTACATATTCTTTTTTTTAATAATATTTTTTTTGATAAAAAAATTTTAAAAGTAAATAAATTATTCAATTTTTAAATTAAAATAAGATGTATCGTATTTGATAATTTAAAATAAATAATTATAAATTATGCATTCGAGTTAATCTTAACAAATAACCATCAATAGAACTCAAATTTAAGATCTTTTCATCGAGAATAATAAACTTAATCAATTAAATCAATCATTTATTAATATATAATACATATTCAAGATATAATTTTTACTTTTTTTCAAGGGACAAAAAAAAAAAAGCAAAAGGGATACCCATTTCTCAAATAAAACAATTCATTGTGATTTGCAAATTTTTTGTGATTGATATGTAAATTTAATACAATTTTTTTTTTTATACTTCCTATCCTATCTTCTTGATTTTTTAAAAAAATGCTAATACCATAAAAAATTATTAAATATATTGACGATAAAATTTATTAATTTATAAATAAAATTAATAAAATAATATATATCTTTTAATATATTTAAAAAAATATTTAAAAATGAAATATATATTACTTTATTAGCTTTATTTATAATATTGACGGTAAAATTTTTTAATTTTACAAATAAAATTAATAAGATAATGCATACTTTTAATATATTTTAAAAAATTATTTAAAAAGTAAAACATGTATTATTTTATTCATCTCATTTGTAAAATTAAAAATTTTACTAACAATATATCTAATAAATTTTCATATATTTATATTTTTTTATTATCAATCAATGATTCAAAAGGCAAAATTGAAAAACAAAATGTGTAAATTCTGACGAACTGAGAATCGATTGGTTTTTAATTATGAGCTTTCGGGGTTGAAATAGCAAATAGAAATGATAATTAGACTATGCGACTGAGCGTCCCAAAGGCAAAACAAAAAGAGAAAGGGCCAAAAAAAAAATCACATCTCCTTCTTGTATTGATTGGAAATTGAAAGAGAGAATTTATTTAAAGTGAAGAGCGAAGACGCACAGTATGAAAGTTCATTCTGCCTCTCTCTCTCTCTATCTCTCTCTCTCTCATAAGCTGTGTAAATTTGGTTGCATCTGCATGTGACTGGGAGCGTCCTTGGACCACAAAGAGACAAACATAAAGCAAAATCAGGGGAAATATGCAAACACCGTGGAATTGAATAGTTGATGTAGATCTAACGTGTATTTATATGTATTTATAGAATATAAAATATTAATAATTTTATATATTTATGTAGATTTGAGGTTTATATATGTATTTATAAAATATAAAACATTAAAATTTATATATTCATATAATATTTTATATAAAAATTATATATCACAATTCGTATTAATAAAAAATATAAATTTTTTTATTTCGTTAAATTTTTATATAATTATTATTAAAATTTTAAATCATATTATTTTTATATCATATTTATATTATATTATTATATCATATTTTAAATTATTATATTTATATAATATTTTATTAAAAATTATATTTTATAATTTATAGCAAAACAAAAGAATGAAATATTTTTTTTATTTTTATTGAACCTGTTTGATTTTTTTTAATTTAATAAAATATAATAATTTAGTATTTTTAATTTCATTTTTTAATTGATGATGTGAATCCATGTGTCCTATTAATTGCCGATGGCTTGAAGGTACACTTGGGTCCTGTCATTTCTTAAGGCTTGTTTGTTTTTTTGTTCCATCGAAGTTATATGTCAGGGTTGAAGGTAAAACAACATAGCATAGGCATAGATTCATAAAACGAATTGACATTTTCTGCGTTTGTCGTGTTGTGCTTCAATTGGATCATAGTGTGGGTCTAGCTACGTACTCTTTGTCTCTAGTATAGGCAACTACAGATGGTCCCACGTAAATTCCCCCCTTCCTTCCTGCTTTTTTCTTTTTACAGTTTTGGCGGTTTATTACCAGTAAATTTGACAATAGTCAGGCTTGAGGGTTGATTTTTTTACGATTTGGACAATGAGATTGGCTCACGTAACATTGAAAATAACGGCTATTATGAGATTATGTGAAATTAAATATTATGATAAAAAGATTAAAATTAATTATAAAGATTCGTGTTTGTATGTAAATGTAATATTAATAGTAAGATTTTTTATTTTTACACCATAAGAGAGTCAGTTATCCTTATAAAACAACCGATAATAATAAGATCCAACCGTTCGGTGTAATAATAATAATAATAATCTCCTTTGGTTTTTGAACGAGGGAAAAGAGCAATCGGCTAATGCTTAAATTACAACATGAAGGATATCTGCAAACCACTCACTTCATTACAGGCCAAACCAATTTCTCCAGACCCAACGCAGCTCAACCATTGGGCCTTAATTAGAAAATTAGTCCCAATTCTCATGCCTGCCAGTACCCGTGCAGAAGTAAGAAGTAATGTTCTTTACATCAATTTCTTTCAACTCTCCTTCCTTTTTCAAAATAGGCAAGTTTCTTTCACATTTCTAATATTACTTAACTATAGCTGATAATTGTATATTGATTTTGTGTAAAATATTAAAATTTATGTATTTATATTATATTTTATGCGAAAATTGTATATTATAATTTTAACTACTGTTGTGTTACTTCGGAAAAAAAAAAATCATATAACCAGCTACTAGAGGACCTGTTTCAGCTTATAATTTAAGAGTAATAATACTTATCAAAGATGTTTTTCTAATATCCAGACAAAGTTATTTCTATTATTTACTAATAGGGATCAAGCATGACATCCTGGCATACCCTTAATTCATTGCATATTTCTGGGTCCATAAGCGGGCAGTGCTCTCATATTTGGCTCTATCAGTCTTGTACATGTGAGCAATCTCAGGCACCAGAGGGTCATCAGGATTTGGATCTGTAAGAAGTGAGCATATTGACAGAAGAACCTACAATACAGACGGTTAATGCTGTAATTAAAATGGTTTAGAGCACAAGAATCCTTAAGAATGCATGAAAATATAATAATATTCTATAGCTTTGCTAGGATTGGAACAACAGTGGATGCAAGTGTAAAAATTAGAAAATAAGAACATCTGAAGGTCAATTTTTTCCTAAAACCCCCCAAAATTTTCTCTGAACACCCAGGTTTTTTTTTTCAAAATATGAGAACTCATCCTGAAAAATTATAATTTATAATAATCTAGCAATATATTATTTTAAAGTTTTGTTTACAATTTTTTTATATATCACAAGTGAACATCCGAGAAAAAATCCTAGATCCACCACTAGATTGGAATAATGTTAATGATGAACTTGGTGTCCGTTTATGATCCATGCAGATTACATACCTTGGATATGGTAAGGGCTGGGCTCCACTGCTCCTTGAGAATGTCAAGACAGATGCTTCCATTGCTGTTGATGTTAGGATGGAAAACCTTTGTTTGGAAAGAAACCTTTACAGAGGATAATTAAGACAATCAGTTAAAACAGAATGCTAAGAACCACTTACTTTTGCATAAAACAGAATATAAGGTCTCATGCAGTAATACAATAAATTCACAGTTTATGCCAAATTCAGAAACCAAAATCAGCAAACATGGCAGGTAATAAACTACTTTTCAAGTAACAAAAGCACAGGCACATAGAAGACGGCAACAGATTCACCGGCACAAACAAAAAGCTTGCTAATACATGTTCAAGACATTTGCTTGAACTCTTTAAGTGGACCAATGTTACAGAAACAAAAACCAAAAAGTCGGTCCAAATATCGACCATTACAAGGTACTTTTTTAGTGTACTAAAAAGAAATCCACCCTCCTTAATACTCTCAAGCAGTATATATATTTTTTCCTTTATAATCCCTGCATGTAAAAGCTGCTAACTCAGAAAAGGTTTCAATCTCCCTGAATTGTGAAAATAACACAATATCTAGCTTTAGCCCAACTACCAATCATCCACACCAAAATGATGGGGATGTTTACATACAGTCAAACAGATCTAATTAACAAGAAAAGGGAAACATCTCCAAGCATTCCATGACATGTGCACTACTGCACAACAAATTTCTTGATAGGCAGTCAAGCAGACACATCCATAGTTGGATGAAATAAGAAGTTCAGTTTCTTTTTTTTTTACCTTGGGTGGCTTGAAAGGATAGTCTGGGGGAAAGTGAATGGCAACAAGAAAGACTCCCCCTGCAAAAGGACTGTCTGCTGGGCCCATGATTGTTGCTTGCCAGTGGAACATATCATCAGCAACAGGGCCTGTATACATGCAGCATTATTTATAAAGAAAATATTAAATTAATTATCATGATGAGGTACAATCTGACCTTCCTCTGCATTCTACATAGTGGCCATTGTTAGGGTTTTTGGATATAGTAATCAAAACCCTGTCTGTATCTAAACACAATAGCCAGGTGCCCCTTTCATGGCAAAAACATATTACAGCTGACAACTTGTGGTACCATACTTGTCATTTTTTAATTTCTACTTCCAGCCATTACCTTGAATTATTAAGGGATTCAATTATACAATCAAGAATAATAAATATGGACCTAACACTTCAAAACATGATAAAAAAAACATGGAAGTGACACAATTTAAAATTTTAGCAAAAACCATATATGGGTTTAACAACACTAACAACAAACAAACTAAGTCTCATATCCCATAACTTTGGGGTCGGCAGGTCCTAGTTTTGAATATTCTTGCAGCACTTTCTATCAACGGGAACCTTTTCATCTACTTCCTTGACCTTCATATCATTTTTGATTACTTGCATCCACGTCTCTCATGGTCTGGCCTTAAAAGTTTTGCTCTCTCCTAAATCTAGAAGCTCACATCTCCTAATTGATGCACAGATAAGTCTACGTTTTACATGGACAAACCAATTGGTTTAACCAAAAAAAAAAATGTATTTCATGTCTGACATGAATTGTAACACATAATTTTCCTGACACAATTTTCATGTTAACCTCAAAACGATATGAGTACATGAATTAACAATGTTTTACATGACATAAATACACAAATAGCTAAGTCTAAATAAATATAATAATGGGTGAAGGAATAAATTCATAATTGACTGAAAAGTAACCAAATTGAATGAGTAGAGAAAACAAGGAAACAAACCAGCACTGCATGATACAGGAGGGTCCTTCTGCAGATCCTTCAACTCCTTGTTAATCCGCTTTGATGCCATTGAAAACCTCTCTGAAGCCTCAAGCAAACAATGGTATGGTAACTGCAGCAAAATCAAATTGAAATTGATGAAAAAAATGTAATGATCAAAATCTAAATCAACAGTAACACAAATATCCCTTTTTTATTAAGAATATTATCTTGTAGTCAACTGGGTCAACAATAATTATTAAAAAATTCAATTTTACATTAAAAAAAAAAAAACTCCAAGGCCTAAAATTTACAAGATTCAAACTCGTCTATCAAAAGAAACTAATGATTTTTTTTCCAGATTTTCTAGGCAAACAAACAAAGGGTTGGACAAGGGCACATGTATTACCGACACATAAAAAAATGATAAAAAAAGAGTTTAAAAAGTATTCATATAAAAAATATATTAATTCAAACATAAAAGGAAAAAAAAAAGAAGATATTTGCTGGAAAATTAGCATGGAAAAAAGAAAAAGGAGAAGAGAGACGTACTTGAGCTTGAAAGTGTCAATAACGTCTGGAGCTAAAGAAGAAAATATTAGTGAAGAAAAAAATTGGGGCTTTGAATTTATACAGAGGCCTTTTTGGCGGTGATTCTCTGCCTACGCGGCCCTCTTTACTCTTTACGTGCCGCCTTCTTATTCGCTCTTTCTTTTCGTCCGATTTTCACTTGGAATTTTTTAGAAGTTAATATATGTAAAGATATATAAATTTTAGACCCGCTTATTTAAGAATGATTATATAAATTAATTAAATTATTAAATATATAAATATATAAATTTAAAATTGATTGATTTAAAAATAATTATATGTATTAACTGAATTAAATTTTATAAATATTTTTATAAACTTTTTCATTAATAACATGAATGAATCTCCAAATTGACATAGAAATATGTGACATAAGAATTAAGTTGCGAGTTTATTTACGTAAAATTTTTCACTAATAATATGAGTAAATCTCCAAATTGACATGGAAACATGTTGCATAAGAGTGAGTTTTGTTCATATTCTGAAATAAGATGAAGGAGGTTGCATCATGTATGACAATTTAATGAAGTTTGGCTAAGGATATAGGATTTTCAAGTAGTTTGGTTGGTTTAGAAGTTTGATTGACCTTCACTACTCGAATGATAAGCCCTGCTGACTCAAGATGTGAAATTGAGTTGAAAGCATTAGTCATAAATTAACCATCAAGGAAAATGACATTATTTGGATAGTAGTGCAGATGGATTTTTCGGACAGCAAATCTTAGCTTTAGATACTCGTATGATTTTAGATATGATTTTGTTGATTTGTTGATAGAATGTTTTATTTCAGGATTTAAAAATCCTGATAAATTTAAAAAAAAGAAAACTGAGTTATTTAATAATTAGTAATTATTGAGTAATTTTTATTATTAAATTACTATATCAATAGAATTTATTTGGAGTAAATAAAAAATATGATGTAACGCATGGGGATGGGGGCAAAATTTCAATAATTATACAAAATAACACATTCCCTGCTCTGCTCTGCTCCTCCTAATGGCTAATGTATAAAAACTAATGATAGGCAACAGGAACGCACTCATAATCGAAACGCAATCCAATCTTCATTTTCAAATAATAATATCTAAATATGCCATCTACAATTTGATAATACAAAAAAAACACTCCAACCCATACAACATTTTGCATGGGTAAAATAAAATCACCTCACCTTGCTGCATACAAACCATACCTTAACTTCCTCGCATATACTAATCAAAACTGTCATCAAAAAGTTTAATTAGAATAATATGACCTAATAATACACCCGACAGTTTAGCAGAGAGCTATCTGCCTGAATCAACATGCAAATGCAAAAGTACGAACCCCCAGAATGAACTCACACCCATTCCTCACTGTGTTATACTAGCATTTAACCTCTCCCAACACACAACATAAACACACTGCATATATGAAACAAGTTAGAACTGAACTGGCACACAACAGTGCCAGTGCCCCGACGGCAGTTGGAGGCATTCGGAGACATAGCAATACCTGCAATGTCGGGGAGACTGCTGTTTGTGGCAGACACTAGGACACAAGCTTCATTAGCCCACAAGGAGGGGCCCTTTACCCCCTAGTCTTTGCTCGCTTCATTCCAAGGCTGTTGTGGAAGGGGGATACAGAACCGGACATGTGAGAACCTTCCTCGCGAAGCGTACCATTCAGCATTGCTAGCTCTCGCAGCTGTTGTTTCTTATAGAAATCCTGGGATTCATCCTATTTTTCAAAAAAAAAAAAAAACATATTTTCATGATTCCTAATAAACACATAATTTTAATATTATCACAACGGAAGGAAATTTTACTCACCACAGGCTTGAGCAAATCTTCAAGTATCTCACGTGCTTGCATTAGGCGAGCATCAACTATTTCAACAGGTAATTCCGCCTCAACTAGGATATGAAGAGGTTCATTCAGATGTTCATACCCAGATTTTCCTCTCATTAGTTCTTCCTTAACAATTTTAAAACACAACATCACTACATTTTTATCCACAAAGAGAGACAGAGAATTTTGCATTCACCCAAAAATACAGAAAATTCAAGATCAAGTAGGCTGCTTCTTTAGAATTAAATCAAGACATAATTCATTGAAGTTTTTCCATATAGGGAACTGCTAAAAAGGTTAGGGCTACAAGTCTGATAGGTTTCATTATCATCAACATCTTTTAACTATGATCAGATATTTACCAAACTTATTTAATGAGCAATAAGAACTACTAAGAAGGATGCACAGAAAAGGATCATTACCCTAGCTGGATCCTTAATACTGCCCCGCCCTCTTATCAGGACACGGCACTCTGTATTTGCTTCCACACGCTTAAGAGAGTTGCCCCTAGGACCAAGGAGGCGGCCGACAAAGTTGTACTGAAACATTAAATTAGTTTAGACATTGAAAAAGAAAATTTCTAATATCACTTTTAGAACAGGAGTTGATTCATACATTAGGATAGTTGTTGACAGGAATATCCACTCTGATTGTTCTCTTAACAGTAAGACCAGAAGAGCTACCTTGAGAACCCAGCCAATTCTGTGCCAAAGAGGGCTGTACTAGACTTGACATCTGCACCATAATATTCCAGGTTTTGTTAGGGAAAAAAAAATAGCAACAGATTAGTGCAAATGTCTTCCATCGTATTGTACAGATAAGATTAGGGAACAGAAGACACATTCTTTAGACAAGCACCATGAATTCCTCAAAGACATTTCAAGACAAGTACCTTGAACAGATAAAAAGAAATTGTTCTGACAAAGAATATCCACAGAAGAATAAAATCTGAAATTCAAGGACTAAAAAGCCTAAAGCAGTAACATACGTGTCTCCGGAAGAATCAGGCCCCTACTAACACACTCAACCATCCAGTTATTGGGATCATATGAGACTATCTATGCGGCTTCCATGAAACATGGGTTAGCTAGTCTTTCCACAAATATAAAACAGGTAACTGGAGTCATGGAAACCATTTTGGGGGATTAAAATGACTGCTTGGTTATTGAAGTCAGCAATAAAGTATACAGTTCACAGAATAGCCCTCTTATCAGAACTCCAAATATGCACTGTCTCACATTTGATCCACATTTCAGTCTTCCATCCTAACAGAAACTGAAGTTTAACACCATATAAGATTATAACAAAATGTCATCCCCAGCATATCTGATTTTATCTTGACAATGATAAAAGGCCAGAGAAAACAATGAGTTATATATTTACAAGCAACAGCCTGCAACATTTTCTAGCTAAAACTAGTTTTCAGGATTTCTTCATGTTAGCCTCAGACCGCCTGTCATAAGAGAAATGACAATACAAGCTACAAGTCAAATAAAGGTTAAGTTAGCATGAAATGTAGTAAAATATTAAGTCAGCAATACCTCTAAAAGCAGTAAAATTAGATGGTAAAGAGTTATGTTAATGGTTAGTATCCATACTTCTGATTGAAACCGTGATGACCATCCGTTCATATCGGCTCCTCCATTTGAAAATATTCCTCCAGAAGCCAGGGGGCTAGCTTGTTCAAGCCCACTTTGACCTAAAACTGATGCATTCCCCAACAGTGTAGTTACACGCAAAATTTCTGCTCCAAAAATGTCATTTTCAAGAATAAGATGTACCAGTTAGCATTTGTTAAGAATTTAGTTAGCAGCCACCACAAAATGGAGAGACTACACGGAATGTTAATTTAGTCAGTTAAATATCAACTCTTCCTTCATAAAATAAGCTACTCTTCCAGCTGAATGCAATCTGGAACGATATGAAAAGAAAGATGTAGTGAAATTTTATTTTGGTTTATTCCTACATCAACAACAAGCATTCTTACATTAATTAAAAAAGAATTATTTGACTGACTGCCTTACAAAACCATGGAGGAATCAAATCAACTGTTAGAATCTGAAACCATACAACTGAAGACAAAAAGAAAACAAAAATACATGAAGCACTAAAAGAAATACTATTTAATTGCACTGCCAGCAAATATTAGCACGGTGTTGCAGGACAGCTTTGTACAATAAACCGAAGAAAGAGAAAATAAACAACTGCCTCTTTTGGCTAGAAGTTGGCAACTAATGTCTCTCACAACTAAACCTAAAAGAACTAAATCTTACAGGCAAGTTCCCCAAGATTTCTCAATTCCTTGAGAGACCTTAGGATCCATGATATGATGAATAACCACCATAGGCTGCTCCCCAAGATGAATACCAGCAGAATCACTAGCTTTCCCTCTGTAACTCTTTCTTCATATCCATACCTTCCTTCACCACTGTTAGTTAGGTTCAGAAACTTTTTCCTCCCTCTTCTTTTTCATTATCTTCTTTTCTCTTAGGACTGCACTAGTAACCCCTTCTTTCTTCTTTATCCCTCACTTCCAATTACTTCCTAAGATATGTCCAACAATCCGCTGTGACATAGAGGAGCTATCAAGGTTCATGTAAGATTCAACCTATTGGTTCATTACAATAATTTAGAACCATAGTTTCTGTTGTATCATTATTGGCCTACCCAAAGAAATTTAAAAGTGTAAACAAGTCTTCCATCGAGGGCTCTAAATTGCAGGCAGTCAGAAGTCAATTATGATTCCACCAAGTCTTAGTAATTGTCAGTTGTATCTATAAAATCTATTCACACAAGAGGCATGTTTTCATTCACATGATTTACTAAATGAATTAGCTCTAGTCATGATGCTTTTGACAGGAGATTTAGTAAGAAAGTTAGTGTTAGTGGGTCGATCCCTAATTAGCATTTCTAGTCAGTTACTTGTCAAGTTAGTATTTGGCAGTTAACATTTAGATTTAAGTTGTTGTTTTAATGACAACAAAGAGGAAGGGAGATATCGTTCTCCATGAACCTTTGACAAGAAAGCAGATTGCTACTTGGAAAAACTTACCATGGTTCAACAGTCTATAGGTATGAGGGAGTACTGGCATAAATGGACTGAGCTTGTGACGCTCCGCCAGTAACTCTGAGAGATATCTGCAAAAAGGAAAATGAAAACCTTCAGCCAAATTGTGGATTAACACATCCATCTAAACAAAAGAATCATCTCCAACTACTTTTGATAGTAATGTTAAAGTTGAGCAAAAACAGAGTCATTAATTGAGAGTCACACACAATCCCCAGTTATTTAGCTTTGATTCAATACAATGATTTCCAGATCACAACTGAATGAAAGCATCAAACCACTAGAAATTCATTGACTCGTAAATCTGAACTGATCTGTTAGTACAATCATAACATCAACAGAAATTCAGAACGAAACGCATAATCAGATCAAAAACGAACGATCGAGCTCTTGATCTATGAAATTGCAGAAGAAGTGCGCTACGAAAACAAGTTTAACAATAAGCGAAGCAATTATAAGCAAAAGAGAGATCAGAGCCAAGATCACAACAGTAACTGCAAAGAAACAAAGAGATAAGGGAAAGACGAGTAGAAAGGCAGAAGATCGGAAGGAGTTAAATTACAATCAACATAAGAAAGAAGAAAAAGAAGAGCATACTTCTCTTGGTCAAGGAACGCGGCTGAGGAAGCGGCGGCAGCGGCGGCGGAGCGGAGGCCAGAGAGGTGAGGAGAGTGATGAGCGGAAGGCGAGGGCGAGTAAGCCATGTATCTCCCTACGCTACCGCCCGAGGAAGTCATGAGTAGAAGCGAAGGATGCGTTCCAGAAGCGGCGGCGGAGGTGGTTGTATATATATTAATATAAGTGATATATAAATTAATTAATTGATGTAGAAAAATCAACGGCTTGAGGAGGAGAAACTGTCAGCTGTGTGTAGCAATGTGTGGTGCTCTCTCGTTTCCTTATCCTTTCCCTGTTGGCGTCGGTGGAAATTTTTTGCCTAAATGATTTATTATTCACTATTTATTTAATGTTGTGAATCAGCTGAGCAACGATGTAATGATTTTTTACTTGCTTTTACTGCAGGCAAAGTTGACTGTAATTTTTGTTTTCTTAAGGAAAAAAAACATTGGCTTTGTTTTTTCTTTTTGCTTTTTTACTTTATCAAAAAAGTATATATATTAATTACGCATTTTTTAGATTGTTCTAAGTCAACTTTGTAATTTCTTCATACAAAAAAGTCAACTCTATAATTAATAATAACAAACTAAAAAAAATGTTAATAATGTAGAATTGGTCTGCATTTTGCAATGTGTTGTGGACTATGTATTATTCACCCAAACATCTTAAAACAAGTTTATCTACAAAACAAAATATATGAAATAAAATAACCATTAAAAAATATTCTTTAAAAAAATACGCATAAAAAATTTAAAAATAAATAAAAATAAAGAGAAAAGCATATAGTTATAGTTACAAGTAACTTGAACTTGGAAACATAAGTTTTAGAAATAATATTCTTGTAAAAAATATTGTTAAAATTAAAAAGTTTCTCAATAAAAAAAGTTTCTCAATATTGTTTCTGCGAATTGTGTGGTAGTGTTATGAGTTTGAGAATTATTAACTTATAAAGAATCAACTGTTGGAGTTGTACTGTTATTTGATAGTGGTAAATCAATAGCATTAGAACTAGAGATAGAATAGTAAGGTAAGACTATGATAGTTGGACCAATGGAATGTACTGTTAAATTCTCATTATTAGAAGTTGGTGAATGAACAATGTTGTTTGGTGTTGCATAAGGAAAAATGGATTCAACAAACTTGACATGTCTAGATATGAACAATTTATTTGTAGATAAATCCCTACATTTACAAACATTTTGATTAATAGAGTAACCAAGAAACACACATGGTTGAGACTTAGGTTAGAGTTTATTGTCAGGTATGGTTTAAGCCAGGGATAAAAAAGACAACCAAAATTTTTAGTTTTGAGTAATCTGGTGTGGTATGAGACATTAGAGGAACATATAAGACATTGGAAGGAGTCAAAGGTTTCTCTGATGTGGTGATTTGTGTGGAACCAGTGTGAATAATGTTCAAACCTAACCATTTCAAACTAGGATTTCATCAAGACTTCCATAATCAAAGTAGAGATATAGATTGTTGAGATTGTTGGTGACATGATGTCAGGCCTTAGAGTCTATTACCCAATTTTGAATTGTTTGTTGAATTTGAAACTTGAACAAAGTTTGCAATCGGTTCTTATAAGGATGAAATTTTGTAATTTTTGCAAACTTTGGCACTATGACCAATTTTTCCATAAAGCTCACAAGTTGGCTTGTTATAGCTTGTACCAGCATTAAATTGATTACATTTCTTTTTATTTAACTAAATTGTAATTGTTGTGTGATTAATCATTGTTGACGTTACTTTTAAGGCTTTTACCTCTCTGTGGTTGATATTCATATCTTCTTCCTCTTCTTAATATGTTGGCAATCATGATAGGTGTAATTATGAGCTCCTCTTATTGAGCATTGTTTAAAAGTCAATCAAGTTGTTATGCAATTCTTCTAAGGATATTGTATTTTCTTTGGTTTTTATTACGGTTAAAATTTCTTTGAATTTCATTCCAAGTCCATTGAGAATGAAAATTATTAAGTCATCTTAATCACTGGTGCCTGAGCGAATGTCAGTCATCGACAATGCTTTTTGTTATTTGCATGAATTCAGCCATTGATTTGTTCTCTTATGTGGACAATGATAATTTTTCTTGAAGGACATGACTCTCGACCTGGTTTTACTTGTAAACATGTAAGCTTTGTCATAGCTTTGTTGGAGGTCTTAGAAATAGCTATCATAGGTATCACTAATTCAGTGATTGAGGCAACAATGTCATGTAAAATTAGTTCATCTTGTTTGATCCATTTTTAGTATTCTGAATTTGAAGATATAGTTTGTTAAGTGATGATGGTTAGCAGGGTAGAGATATGTTCCATTTACATAGCCTATCAAATCCAGATTAGTAAAAAGGATATTGAATCGTAGATACCAAAAAAGAAAGCTACTGCTATTGAGTTTGAGTGGTAATCGGGTTGTTAAGTTGATTTAGATGATTTTAGGCTTGGATGTTGAAGTAGTGCTTGCTGCCATTTGATCAAAAATACTATTAGGCTTCAAAGGCTCTGATAATATTAATTTTTTTACAAAAAGATAAGATTGAAATACAGGTATTTCATTTTGAACCCTCTTTTGATTCTTATTCAATCTTAGAGTATTAGAATGTACTTGAAATCTTATTTTTGATACCCCTAATTGTTCTTTTTCTTAAAGGTCACATTAACCTCCAAATCATTCAGTTGATAAAAAATTTGACAAAAACCTACTAACCAAATTCACAAAATTATCGACAAAATTCAAACTATTATGACATTCTCAGAGATTTCCCATGCGTGCCTATGTGTTTTTTCTATGTTTCTATGTGAATAAGAAAAACTTTTAAGACTTGAATATTGAAAGGATTAAGAAGAGTTTTTGAAGTTTCAAGGTAAATTTATTTTTCACCTAAATTGATGTCTACAGCGTGTATGTACAAGTAAATTTTTAAGGAATCAAGTTCAGTATGAGAGTTATATGATAGTGATAAAAGAGAAAAAGGATAAAAAATATAAAAACTTAAAAAATAAAATAATTTAAAATTTTAATAAAAATTAAATATAAATTTAATAAAATCAAAAAATATATTTTATATTTTTATATATGATTTTTATATAAAATATAATTTAAATACACGTGCTACATGTAAAAAAAGTTATTTACTTTTATCTTCGTTCATAGTGTCAGGCCATACTTTAAATGGAGTCGGACCCATGGTTCGTTGACAAGTGTCCTGCTTTCGTGGGCGAATAGGATATTCTGGGTTGGGCTGTCTTGCCCCATCCTTTCATCATTGGGCTTGACTCTATGCTGTTTTCGGTATTTACTTTTGACATTGGGCTTGCATATAACAAACTTAGCCCAGCAACGTGGCATCCACTTCACCCTCACTTTTTCTTCCCAAAAAATCCCTCGTCCCTTAGCCTTTTTCCCTTCGTTTCCCACTGCCGCTAGGCCTCCTCCTCTTCTTGTGAAGAACAATTTAGTCTGCTGTTTGAGGCACGAACTACTCTTCTTGAAGAGAAGAGAAGAAAAGGCGTTGGTCATTAGGGTTTCAAACCACAAAAAGTGTGTTTGGGATAGAAAATAAAAGGATGGGAAAGCGATTTGGCGGCGGCCGTTCCCCCTCCGCCTCCTCCTCCGTGCTTAGCCACAAGATTCTCCGCCGTCGGCTCCAGTCGTGCCAGCACGCTCACTCCACCGTCGATGAAATCGTAGAGCACCTTCGAACTAACTACCCTGATTACAAGCGCATCAAGCAACAACCTTTCACCAGGGCTGTCCAACAAGCTCTTCAATCCTTTTCAAAAAACCCCAAAAAGCCATCTCTTTCCGCTTGTGATTTCAACTTTGATGATGATAATGATGAACATGAACATGCCGTTTCACCTTCTTCTTCACCTTCATGGAAGAAGGTTAGGAGAAGCGATGGGACTGAAGAAAGGTTACAACGTATGGAGGATTTGCACATTCAAAGGAGACAAATACAGCACCGCTCCAACTCCGAGTCAAACTCGGACCCATCTTCATCATCGGAAGAAGAAGAAGATGGGGCAGTTTCAACTTCGGAAGATGCCATTTATGCCGAGAAAGAAGAACCCAAGTTTGATTTAATGAAATCAATGCTAAGACAAGGTTATACTCAGTCCAACAAAACAAAACAAAAGCCTGAAGTGAAAAACATTGAAATGGAGGTTGCAACTGATAAGCCTGACAAGAAGATTGCTATGAATAATGAAGGTGGGACTGCAATCCAAGAGAGTGCCGAGCTGAAAAAACAAACAAAGCCTTCAGCTTTTGCAGGTGCTGCTGATGGTGTGGAGGTCAACAGGAAGGAGGGGCCAAGGTTCAGGGATTTAGGTGGCATGGGAGGAGTATTGGAGGAGTTGAAGATGGAAGTCATAGTGCCTCTTTACCATCCACATTTGCCACGGTGGTTGGGAGTCAAGCCAATGGCTGGCATTTTGCTACATGGCCCGCCTGGCTGTGGCAAGACCAAATTGGCCCATGCCATTGCCAATGAAACTGGTGTTCCTTTCTATAAAATTTCAGCTACCGAGGTGGTTTCTGGTGTCTCAGGTATTCATATTCTGTTCTTTATATACCTGTTCCTGCTAAATATGATTATTAGGCTGCATCAACCCACAGCATGATTCGTGTTTGGACAGATGAAATCATTGCCTAACCGTGATGGGAAGTTATGTATTTGCTAATAATATATATTCATTAATATCTCAGGTGCATCAGAAGAAAATATCAGGGAGCTCTTCTTGAAAGCATATAGGACTGCTCCATCAATTGTATTCATTGATGAGATTGATGCCATTGCATCTAAAAGAGAAAATCTGCAAAGGGAGATGGAGCGCCGAATTGTCACACAGTTAATGACTTGTATGGATGAGTCTCATAGACTTGTGCAGCCAAGTGATAAAGAGTCAAGTTTGGAGAGCTCTGATTCCAAGCCTGGTTACGTCCTTGTAATTGGAGCTACCAATAGACCTGATGCTGTGGACCCTGCACTACGGAGGCCTGGACGATTTGATCGAGAGATTGTTCTTGGTGTTCCAGATGAAAATGCTAGGCGTGAGATCCTTTCTGTGCTTACACGCAATCTTAGACTTGAAGGTTCTTTTGATCTTTGGAAAATAGCTAGGGCTACACCTGGGTTTGTTGGAGCAGATTTGGCTGCCTTGGCTAACAAGGCTGGTAATCTTGCCATGAAGAGAATCATAGACCAAAGAAAGCATGAGTTTTCTAGAGAATCTATAGATGAGGAACAAGCTGATCAGTGGTGGAGGCGGCCTTGGTTGCCTGAGGAGATGGAAAAACTGACAATCACTATGGCTGATTTTGAGGTAATTAAAGCTACACTTTCTTTTTTTTTTTTCATTTATTTATATGATTAAAAGTAACTAGGTGTATGCTTAGTGGCTTGTGTTCTATGCTGTTATCTGCGTGTCTGTCAATGCCATGGATATCAAAGTTGTTTGGGAAATGAAATGTGTATAATCATTTCTAGATGCATTTAACTACATGCAAGTATCACTTTGACTAGTATGAAATACAGTTTAATTTCCATGATTAAGAGTTCTAATGAACTATAGAGTTACGCTTGTTGTTTTTAAAATAGTTTGAAACAAAGGTGCTGTATTTCTCTATCTGTTATGAGGAAGCAATTCTTTTACACTAGAAGGTTTTATATTAAATTCAATTATGCCCTTTGTTGATGATTTGCTTAAAAATGTTTTACCTATAGGAAGCAGCCAAAATGGTTCAACCTTCATCTAGAAGAGAGGGATTCTCCACAATTCCAAATGTTAAGTGGGAGGATGTTGGTGGTCTTGATTTCCTAAGGCAGGAGTTTGACCGTTACATAGTTAGGAGCATAAAATTTCCCGAGGATTATGCGGTAAATATAGATGGTTTCTACCTCTTTATTCTTTCACTATCCTGTTCAACAAAGGGGGGAAGGATAACCCTTGAACATAGAAATGATATAAAAGGAGTAGGGTTAGCCTTCTTATTAAGGTAAATAAAAGGAAGCCAACCATGTAAAAATGGGTACAATATCTGAAACATATCTTGCATGATCTTCAACTTGGTTGACTTTCAAGCTCATAGCAACTATAATCTAGGCCCATATCTACTTTTGGATAGCTATTATAATATTTGCTTTTCAAATCATTGAGTTATTCACAATTGCAGGAATTTGGAGTGGACTTAGAGACAGGATTTTTGCTTTATGGACCACCAGGCTGTGGTAAAACATTGATTGCAAAGGCTGTTGCTAATGAGGCTGGAGCCAATTTCATTCACATTAAGGTCAGTACACAGCATATATTTCCACTTGTTTTCATTTTCTTCTTCTCTTTCTGTTTGTTAAAGATGATGTTAACTGGTGCTTTAATACTGTAAGTTAATTTTCCTATATTTGATTTTTTAATGATCATGAGTGCATTTGCTAATTAGGGCCCTGAACTTTTGAATAAATATGTTGGAGAAAGTGAAATGGCAGTTCGGACATTATTCAGCCGTGCCAGGACATGTTCACCATGCATACTATTTTTTGATGAGGTTTGTGGTTCTCTCTTTTTGAATTCTAAATGAAAGGGAAAATACTGGAGAATTTGATTTTTTTTGAGGTCTTTCTGATAATATGTAGGTGGATGCTTTGACCACAAAACGTGGGAAAGAGGGGGGATGGGTTGTTGAGCGACTTCTGAACCAGGTTAGATAATCTGCAATGGCTGTCTCTAAACCAATTCATGATGACTTTCGATCTTTTCTGTATAAAAAATTTACAAATTGCAAATAATAACATGGAAACATTGGTCATAATTGCAGTTACTCATTGAGTTAGATGGTGCAGATCAGCGGCGTGGTGTTTATGTCATTGGTGCCACTAATAGGTAGAAAATGTTGTTCCTGCTTTTGGGATGAGGATCACCCCTTATCATTTATTTACACTGGTTGGCTTTGACATATGTTTTGGCAGACCTGAGGTGATGGATTGTGCCATCTTACGGCCTGGTAGGTTTGGTAAACTTCTCTATGTACCTCTTCCCAGTCCAGATGAACGTGGGTTAATCTTAAAAGCCCTCGCTAGGAAGAAGCCAATAGATGCCAGTGTGGATTTGAGTGCCATTGGACATATGGAGGCTTGCGAAAATTTAAGTGGGGCTGATCTTTCTGCACTGGTATGCCCGATCATTCTACATTAAAATCCTAGAAACTAGAAAGTATGTACTTACTATTTAAGGATTGGTTTTTCCCAAATGACTAATATACCTTTTTGATGTTTCCTCATTGAGCACTGGACATGTTTAGGCTCGCCAAAATGTAAAACACTTTGCAAAAGTACCCCTGATCTGTTGCACAATTCTACACTTGAATAAAGTTTCTGATGTACCTTGTACTTCTATAAGAAATTAAACCATAATCCTGAAACAAGTTGTAAAATTTTAATTACATCGGGCTTGACAATGTTCAGATGAATGAAGCTGCAATGGCTGCTTTGGAAGAGAAACTCACTTCAACTGGGATCTCTGAGACTTCATGGACAATCAAGACATTCCATTTTGAACGAGCACTGAGTAAAATCTCACCCTCAGTCTCCGATAAGGTATAATTTATCCTCAATCACTCAATTATGGCTCCTGATGAAAAACTTATTGATATCAATGACTAGGTAATTAACCTGTTTTTATTATCTTGATCACCTGGGAACAGCAAAAACAATTCTATAAGGCATTGTCAGAGAGCTTCAAAGCTGGTTGAGAATAGACAATCCCCATTGATGTACCATTACAGGAGCTGTTATTGATGTCTGATATTCAACACCTGAGAATTGCAGGATCAAAGCAGCCATTCTCAACGTTAAGATGTGTCTGAATTGTTCAATGTATTCTGTTCGTATGTTTCTTTTTTACCCCTAATATTGAGTGTTAAATGAAGCTTGCTTCTCTTTTTATGAGGGAAAAAAATTTTGTGCCAACAGATTAAAACTTGGTTAGCTGCAGTTGTTTGCGGGAAATACAGTGGAGAAACGTGTAGTTATCCATTTTAAGCAATGCAAAGGGAATTGGTTTATAAGTTCACCCCTTTTAATGTAAAACAATAATAAGTAATGTCTTGTATTTATCTTCCAATTCATATATTTGTATTGTATTTTTTATATTAAATATTTTGTGTCAAATCAATATATATTTTTATTTAAATTTTAAATTATGTTATTTTCTTATATTTTTTCATGTAAATTTTCATGTCACGATTAAAATTGTGAGATCTAAATTACCAAGAAATCTTAGTTCCACCCCGAAAACTATAGCTGTAATTTCCCTATGTTTTTTCCTTTGTTCTCCGGTGTACCTTGACAGTTAAAATGTAGTGTCACTAACAATTGGTGGCTTTCCCTATGTTAAATGAACTTAGACAGTTAGATGAACTGTCACTAATCTCTACTTTTATGTCCAAACTGCTGCATTTTTTAATAAAAAAATTCCAATATCTAGCTTGGAGATCATGAAATACATTTGCTCTACAAAAACCACTCAACAAATTAAACTTAATTTCCTTGAAATTCATTGAAGCAAACATCATACATATGTAGTTTCTCTTTACGGTCACGAATGTGATTACAGTGACCTCTTATCCAAATCTTGCACTAATAAGTCCTTGAATCGACCCAATCAAGCCCACTATTGTGACAAGCAAGCAAAAAAGGCTGAAACTCCTAAGAACAATCCATTTTCTGGTCCAGGGTTGAATTTTCTTTTGCACAAAGTACATTTCCACGGGAAAATATATAGCTAAAGGCCAAAAGTTCAATGCCCCCAGCACTCCTAATACTTGATTGAAGTAAGGGAAGATCATTGCAATTACAGTTGTCGATGCAACATAGGCTGTTCGAAAGCATACCTTGAAGGGATTCATCTGAAATGATGGCAACAATGGGAGTTTGAACGTATAGAAGTTATTCACGAATCCGCTGCTTGGGAACTTCTTGGTGAACCATCTCTCCACCAATGCAAACACTGGCTGACCAAAAATCTGACAGGAAAAATTGGTGGTGAAACATATGATTAATTAATTGTAAGTAACCAAAAATTTGGGGAATTTCAATATAGCATGAATATTTACCTGATATCCTCCCACCAGGTGAAGAACAATGCAAGCATTAGCAAAATCAATGAGCCAGTAAGGCTCATAAAATCCAAATCCTGTCAATAGATTTCCAGGTGTCTTGTTGCCAAATGCAGCATATCCAAAGCATCCACAACAGAGGTAGAAGAAGGTTGTTACAAATATTGAAATCATTGAGGCTTTTTTCATGGTCTTGTTCTCTGGTGGAGGTGACCTCAAAGTATCCTTCATTCAAACAACTTTATGATTTAGCATGGGAATAAGAGAAAGGGTTGCAAGTGCTTGGACTTGAACCTCAAACATGCTGGATGTCATCTCTTGAGAGTGGCTACATAAACCACCTGAGCTAAGCTCAGTGTTCATTTTACGATTCAGTTTAGATCCTAAAATTTGTGTTGCTTCACATCCCAGGTATATAAGAGGTTTCTGCTTAAATTGTGAAAATATCATGTTTGGTCCATATATCTGTTTCAGTTATAAAGAAATGAAGCCATACCTGTATTTCAAGAAGAATTATTGAATATGGATAGGCAAATGCAATGTCTCCAAGTGCCTGGAATGCTAACCATAGCTTATCAGCAATATAGCAGCAGGCACTCCAGTTATACTCCCTTAATCCTCCCATTTTCTGCAATTGGAAACAGAGTCTTAAATGCAAATCCGGTTATACTCTAGTTATAAATTTTGTTGTCTGATAAACTCAAGATATTAAAACAAAATATAACATTGAGTTATAGATTTCTGTTCCTTGTTTAGATTAAGTCTGTCGAACACTATAATCCCACATCAAAATATTGTGATATATATACTATAGCAGATCCAGTAACACTGAGCTAACAGCTCAGTGATAGCATTATTAAATTAGAATAAGTAATTAAACACAAATGAGGAAAATTAAAGGCAAATCCACAATTATACCTATCACTTGCGCAAATCCGAGTCCAAATCCTATGAAAGAGTAAGTAAAGGACATGATTGCAGCAACCACTGAAAGCCATTCCATGTTATGGAAATCTGGTATCTGTGACATTACAACCTGAACAGCTCCAAATAGCAGCATATAGGAAATATCTCCATATGAACATGGAGCATGCTGCCCTTCTCTGTGGTAGCAGTTTGATTTCTGAATTGCTCTGTATTAGGCCAAAAATAAAATTAACATAAAGGAATAAATTTAATGATCCTAATCAATCTAAAACCAATCAAAATAACAGGAAATTCAGAAAAGTAGGAAAAAGGATTAGGAATTAAAGATTAAGGCATGGACGGATCCAAATGGCATAGATTGGAAAATAAGAAATTTTGAAGGAAAAATTCTTTTCCATTCCCTCAAAAAAATTTTTGGACACCTTTTTCATCTATAAAATTAGTAAATTGGTTGATAATTTTTCATATATATTATATATGAACTCCCTCAAAATTTCTATCATGCACTTTCCACTACAAAATGCTAGATTAAGAGGCAATAGCCACGAAATATGTTAGTAGAATGTTAGATTATTAGTCCATTGATCAGCTGACTATCTAAAATACCAAAAAGATGGGGTAAATTAAGGGATTCACCAAGTACCTCATACTGGTTGATGTAGCAATTACATAAGCAATATCAGTCCCATACAGGCTCAGGTTTTGAAGAAAAGCACACAACCATGTCCGGTTTCTACCAAGATACAGGTCAACAGCGTCCATGTAAGACTTGTTTCGTGTCCCGTCGTCGGACCTATAACAATCAGAAAGAAGGAAGACAGAAAGATAGGTGATAATGGCAAAAACAAGCAGGGCAATCGGCCCTGCTATCCATCCCAGCTGTGCAGTGCTCCATGCCAATGACAGAACTCCAGAGCCGATAACAGCAGTGATTATGTGAGCCACACAACTCCACAATGTTCCTGATTCAGTTCCCATACACCGTAAAACAAAAGGTTGGACCTAAAACAAAAGCATAATAACACTAAACCTGAATTGCCATTACCAGTTCTTGCAGGATGTCCATCATCATCACAGGTGCCATTATCGAGGGAGCGTTGAACTGCCATTGTTATCCAGTACTTCAAAGCAGACAATCGATTTTGGTCAAAATTTACTACCTGTAGGCCAAATTCGAATAGAACAGTAAATGTGACGAGTGTATTAATGAAGCTATAGACCTAAAAGAAAAGGCTATACACTTTAGTACTATCTTTTCCTTCTCTCTCAAATACATTAATTACATCATCTCCATCCTGTTATCAGAAAACACTTCAATGAACGTCATTCCTGAGGCTGTTTCTTTAATACATACAAAGGTGAATTGTATATAAATATATAGAGGTAAAATTTTTATTTTTTTGGATTTTAATCAAAATTATTAAATTTAAAAATGTTATTTTGGTTTAAATGAATCATAAATTTAATTTTGATCCATAATCCAAAAAATGTAAGAGTTATACCAATGTGGATTCATATTATATATATATATATATATATATATGTAACTGTCTAACTTCAAAACTATTAAAAATGATTAACCTAAAAATCATATAAAATTTTAAATTAATAAATTTATCCTTAAATATATAACTTTTATTAATTTATTTAAGTTTAATGTAAGTCAATATAATTTATGTGAAATTAAACTAATTAAAATTTTAATTCTAAAAGTATTTAAAATTGATGGGATAAAACACCATTAGTAATTTTTTTATAAAATTTAATTTAAATGAATTTTCTTTCTTATTATTAGACTCATTTTTATAATTAAATTCCAAAAGTGCTAAAAGTTATTGCTTAAAATACTTTTCATAAAATTTTAATTCTAGAAATATTAGACGCGGTTGATTAAAATATCATTAATAAATTTTTTTATAAAATTTAATTTGAATGAATTTTTTTTATTATTATTAAATTTTTTAATTAAACATTTAGACTCATACTAAGACAAAATATGATTTTCACATCACATAAAAATATAAATAAAATAAGATCAAAATTTATTAGAGTACATGAAAATAAAATAATTATATGAAATTTACGTCTTTATTATTGTAAAAACAATTGCACATGGAACGTGCACTTCTAATTTTACAAATTTGTCTCTATCCTTCTTGATCACATAGGATACTTGATGCCTTCAGCTTCTCGCCTAGTGGCCAAGAAACCTTCAGGAAGGCATATGCATATGGGTTCTAACCCCACCATCCTCCTCCCTCTTGCAATCCAATGGAACCAAAAAAAAAAAAAGGCTAGTTAGAATATTTTTAAGATAAGGTTTCTTTGCTTTCGCTCTGCTCATCTCTCTTCCTCGCCAGACTCATCACTTCTCACCCAAGCTAGCACCATAACTCATCAATGGTGAAATTGTAGTGATGAGGAATCAAACAATGAGTGATGAGAGAGTTTGTATATCAATCAATATCCAAAAATTTACAGGGAAAACACTTTATACTTACCAGCTAATAGTTGAAGGAGCTAGAGATGAAGTTTGGCCTTGAACCGCACTTTATATCTATATGTAGCAGCTTCAGCAGTAGAAAATATGTGTTCCTTTTTGGTCTCAATTAAGCCAGTCTCAGATATTTTCTAAAGAAAAACTTCAAATAAAAAGACCAAGGAGAAGTGCATCTTCAACATGACAACATCTTTCCAATCAAATTGCTTTCAGCCCTTCCATTTATATGTAATTGCGTAACGGGCTGTCATTCCGGCTTGTTCCAGTTCCTTTGACTCTGTTTAATATTAATAGGCAACAAATACCCAATTTATGTTATCTATTTTGGTTTAAAAGTTTTATAATTTTATCTTATAAAATATATTTTATAAGTTTAAAGTAAAGTTAGACAATAACAAAATGAAGTGAAACACTGAATTGAATGAAAAGAAATATATATTAGTTTTGATAAGTTCAATTATTAATCTTGAGTGATAAAAATTTTTTTTTTGAGAGGTCGGGGACCCCACTTCTCTCTCTTGGCTCCACCTCTATGATATAATATTTTTTTTTATAAAACATGATAAAAATACATTAATCTTTAGGTAATTATTTTTATAAATGAATTTTATTA